ATTTGTGTTCTCGAGGAGTGAGCAACACAGAATGGGATAGGATAAGTGTGGTGAGATCTTCTTCGTGAGGTCATTTATGCATTTGTTGCGTATGTGTTGGCCTGTTGATTAATTTGGTGTTAATCTGTTGTTCTGTGTGAACATGGTTGAAAAGATTTGTGTTATCCTATATAATATCTCAATCGCATGTTTATTTGCTCTTAATTGATTGCTGTGATTATTTGCTTCTACTTGGGTGTTCTTGATCTTAGCCCTAGTAAGTACATGAAGCAGGTATGTTATGTGTTTCGGGTTCAAAACACGAGGTAAGGTCTGTAATATCAATTTTATTGGTTGCCTTGATTGTGCAAGTCTGAACTGTGTGTTTTGGTTGCTTGCAAATTTATTGGGATCAAGGTGGAGATTTGTTGAGTTTTTTGATACNTACCCAATAAATTCAGGCGATGATGTAAACCGGTTTTTTTGGATTATACTTATAGGCCTCGGCCGATGAGTGAAGTGAAATATCGACACCACAATAGTTCGAACCAAACCCACAACCTAATTGGACCATTTGAAGTAGCCTAATTTAATTAGGACTGCTCATGACCCAACCCAAACTCTTGGATGGCTATAAGGTTGTTAGCCCACTTACTTGGTACCTTTTGGGCCCTACTATTCTTTGACCTAAAAGCCCATAATTCCCACTATTTTAGTTGCCCCATTACTGTTGTTATTGGGTGTGTGAAAATATAGTAGCCGTGAGTTTTTTCAGAGGAGCGTTCTTCTTGCTTTGTGCTTGACTATTCTCCTCCTTCTTCTTGGTCTTTGTGGTTGATTATTGAAGCTACTATATATATTCTACACCTTGTCCTTGGTGGGCAAAACCGGAGCAACTGGGTTTGGGAGCTATTGGTTTGTAGCTTTGTGGTGTCGATTGGTTGGTGAACTGAGCCCGGAATATTATTAGATTGGGGCCTCAAAATACTACGCAGTCATTTTTTACTTTCAGTTTTTTTGAGACCCGAAGCCACTGCCTATATAGCTTGGGCCAAAAATGAGTGTGAATGTGTTGATGGAAATGAATTTGAAAAAAAATAAATTTTTAAAAATAGGGCCAAACAGGGAATTAATATGCTCAACAATTTGTGTATTAAATTAATGAGCACCGGCCAAGCTTAGTATTTTCAATAATTAGAGATTTTTTATTTGTTTTTGTAAAATTAGATAGTTTATGCTCTTCATATGAATGGTTACAGAAATATTTTGGATATTGATTTGAATTAAAAGGAATATAGGACCATGATTTTCAACTTTTTTTATTTTTTGGACTTCAAGATAGTGCATCGAAAGTGAATATGGAAAATGTAATTGAAGAGAGGGATCCGCAATACGACAGTTTCTTGAGTCAAATGGTGGGTAGAATTCGATCAAAGCCCAGTGAAAAGCTTGATGGTTGAGGCGAGGTTCATGAACTCATTGTTTGTTGTTCTAGTTCTTTGTTAATTTGAATTTTCAGCAACTGGATTTTCCTCCCTATCCCTTTCAGTCGGGCTCTTTTACAATCATAGCCATCACAAACTTGATTTGGAAGAGCTAACCACACTCAAAATAGGGTATCTTGCTAAGAGGTACTCCTACTAGTGAATTGTACATTCAAGGTTAACAGACCATTAGCTATAGAACGATAATGTAATGGATTGTGGATAGATAGAATCATTCATGAGGGAACTTTTCAACTCTTCGTGATATACTATCGAGTTCTCCGGCTTGACGTTGAAGTTGAAAAGTTGAATTACATTGAAGTTGAATTTAATATGACTGTCGAGTTCTCCGGCTTGACTCCAATTTTGTAGTTTTGTGAGAACTATGAAGTTTTAGTAGTATATTTGACAAGTTGAAATGACTAAACTCGATCATATTAAAGAAGAATATAAAAGTATTATCAATTTAGAGAGGCTCTCGATCCTTTTGTTCGTGGTTAAATGATTATCATTTTTATTTGCTCACCCTCTATTTTTATTCACACTTTGTAGTGAAAGTAGTATTTCCATATTCCAATAGTGAATCTCACATAATGAACAATCATCAAAGTATTTGAATTTCAAGTAAATAGGTCTAAATAATTTTTTATTATGTTTGAGTCTTGCATATATAAAATAGTAACTCCATTTTAACATGCGATTTTGAAATCCTTGAAAAAAAAGGAAGAAACAGAATATTGTTATTCCACATACACGATAACTTTTGCTCATTCGTTCTCTTTAGACTACTCATTATTGGGGCCATTTTATTATAAAGAGGTACAAGGAACACATCCATTGGTTTTCTCACTTAGATGAGATCGGTGTTAAATCATAGAGTTTGTTGAAAAAAATAAAATAAAGATAGAAACAAAAAAGATGTTTGTGTTGTAGTGTACAAAAAAAAATTACTCTATAAGTATAAAGATGACCTCTATTATGATTAAGATTCATTTTAAAAATATAATCTCTATGAGATGCTCTGAACCTGGAATGGAACGCACAAAAAAAGGGACTAGAACTAATTGAGGGCAGGGGACTAGAACATATAAATAATATTTTATGGCTATTATACGAGGAGATATATCAATATTTGTTGAAGATAGTCAATTATTGAAGATAAAAAAATAGCCAAAAGTTTGAATTTAATTCAATCATAATATATTGGGAGCATTTCAAATAAGAGTAAGATTACTTATTACATGAGTTCTAATAATTTAATCAGTGATTAAATAAATCAATACATAGAATTCAAATAGATAATCTATAGATAAGAAAGGATTTCATCAAAGTTTATACCTAGGAAATAAGAAACTTCAAGCAATTATGTTGAGTTTTATCTGGCGAGCCGCCTCAGAAACGAAGAATATTAATAAATAAATAATGTAAAAGCAACTATAGTATTAGAGTAGAAATTATAAAATAGGAATGGAGATCACATACCTGACTCATCCAACAAATTGGAAATATCAAGAAATTTGTAACGTTCTCTTGTATGTTTACTACGCTTTGGTGCACTTGGTGGCCGTGGACTCAATTTTTTCATCGTAGGGCACTGTTCAATGGTCAAGTCCTCTAATGAAGGGAATGCAAGTTCATAGTTTTGAGAGCAAAACATTTGAATACTTGAAAGATCCTCGAGTCGTAGACGTTTCATATTAGGGAACTCAATTATGGTTTTCATTCCTTCACCTATTTTATTCTCTGAAGTGCCTTCTTCTTCTTCCTTTCCAATTATCTCTTCAATTGATTTACAATTTGAAACCTCTAGAATGTTCAGAGCCACAAGAGAATTGGCTATTGAAGGCGAGAATAAGTATCTTAAGCTCTCACAAGCTTCAACAACAAGTTCTTCCAAATTTTGGAAGACACGGATTCCTTTTGGAATCATCATTGTAATGTGCACCAATTTTGGTAGTGACTCCAGCCACAATGTTGTTAATCGACCAAGCCTATCATCATTAGTGACCTTTATACCCTCAAAGTCAAACAATACGACAACTGCATTACATTCCCACACATAAAGATCTTCAAGATTTTGCAATAACTGAATTGAATCAGATTCTGCAATGGTCAACAATTCAACACATTCCGACACCCACACGACTTTCAATTTAAGCGGAGATGTTTCTGGCATTTCCTTGTCTAGTAGCTTTACTATACAACCCAACTCATTAACATGCAACTCCTCCATGTTAGGAAAGTTGACCTGCGAAGTTCAATTGAATTAGTTGTAGTCAGCCAAAATTTACCCATTATGCTATCTATATAAATGAATTGCGGAAAGCTATGTCATTCTATACAAACTGTATCTATCTATTTAATTGTATTATAAGACACATTCATTGTGCTGTTGACTAAATAGAAATAAATATAAATTTCTCCTTTCATTAATCTCGATATTTTAGCTCCAAAATATACGAGCATCTTTTTATTTCTAAGTTTATATGGTTAATGACTGGAAAACCACCGAGATTTCCTATTCTTTCAATTCTTAATTAAGACCACTGTTCTACAAAACATTTTTTGTAATTTGTATGCAGTTGATTGGAATCATGAAAAGCTATAATTATTAACTTAAGATAAAAGACAATCTATAAGTTAATTTTGTGCATAAGGTGCTACAACCATACTGTTTCTCCTAAACTTAGCCCCAATTTAGTTCAACTACAAAAGTTGATTAAAATTTAAATAAAATTCAGTTAGTAATTTTAACCACATTCTATGAGACCTACAACTTATCAAGGACACATCTCATTAACTTTTATTAAAATTTACTCAAATTATGCCCATGTTTGGTAAAGCTAAAATCTACTTAAATTTTGATTTTGAATTTAATCTCTACCGAACATGGGCATATATTTTTCATCTAAACCAAACAAGGGCTTTGGTTTTGTTAAAGGGCTCGCTTTGATTAAAAATATTTGTAATCATAAAATTCATTGATTTGCACTAAATGACCATTGTAATATTTTTGCTCCACTGTTTATGATTTGTTCATTTGGAACACATTTTCGAGTATATCTGATTTCCAAAATTTGTCTTATTCTTCAGATGTGATACAGACGAACTAAACACTCTTTATAACAAATAAGGACTCTTGGATGCACATAAAAGGAAAGTTGAATACCATACCTGATTCTGATTGAACAATGTTTGATGAACAACACCGCTATTTGATTGAGATGTGAAGCTCTTAAATCTACTCAGATTGCTCAGGGTGACTTCTTTCGGTTTTGGAAACTCGAGCATTTTGCAAGTTTTGGTTACTTGATTTTCTTGTGCGTCCGTTGAAACAACTTCCTCTAACATCTCACATTGTTCTATGTATAGACTTTGGAGATTTACCAAGCTGTTTGCAACTGACTCCCGAAACAAGCTTGTAATTGCATTACAACAAGACATCTCAACGCTCACAAGGTTACAGAACAATTGAGGTTTGATGACACCCCTTGGAAGATTTCCATTGCATATCTCTATTAACTTGGGTAAATCATCCAATTTGAGAGACTCCAATTTACCGAAGGTGCCATTTGGAATAGAGTTGGTGGCATCAATAAGATACTCGAAATCACCACTTGATAGAAACAATGTCTTCAAGTTAATGAAACCATTTTCATCTAACTCACTCACAACATTCTTCAGTACCTTGGCGTCTTCACCTTCTATTGGAATGTAACGTCCCAAGCACAGCTCTTCCAGTTTCTTCATACCCGACAAAACACCAGGTTGAAGTGGACAGGATGACTCCTGAAACCTCAAATCAAGTGACCTTAGGTTGCAAAGATTCTCTAACTCAATGGGCGAATAATCATCGAGAGNTTGAGAATGTATTTTACAGCGAATCAAGCACAAAGTTTGAAGACCCGCCAACAATTGGATTGATGATGGAATTTGAATGTACATCCCTTTCAATTCAAGAACTCTGATATCTTTCATATCTTTGAAAAATTCTTCGGAAATGTTACATTCTCCCAACTCGCGACATATCACCCGTAACAACTTAACGTTCCGATATTTCAACCCGCTTGGAAGCTGATCCAGCTTAACAAATGTAATTGAGATGGCGCTGTACGATTCATCAGCATCATGTTCTGGCCACTCTATCAAACCAACATGTTTCACCAGATATCCGCGTTTGTCTTCATATGCCATATGTACGCAAAAATCTCTGATAACATCATGCAATTTCACCTTGTCTTCCTCATCCGGTTGCAATAAATAACAACCTTTTAGATTATCGACAATTGTCTTTGCTCGATCTCGAGTTTGGTAGAGTGTTTCAGTATGTTGAAACAAATCTAGTCCCCTTGCATATTGAACCAAATTTTCAATTGGAATACTTTCGTCTTCAGCGAATAGAGAACAAAGCAAAAGCAAGTCCCGCTCTTCATTACTTACCAAATACTTGTAGCTCAACCTTATATTTTTGTACACGATATTGTCCATTCCTTCAAGATTGGTAGCACTAGACTGTAGCTGTCGAAGTGTATCTCTCCATTTATGTGCAGCCTTGTTGCTTTTCAGTGCTTTGCCAACACTTACTAGGGCAAGAGGTAGACCTCCACATTCGTCTACAACTGTTTTGGCTATGCTCATGAGTTCGACATCAGTTTCATTATCAGAAATCCCCGTCGTATTCTTGAAAAGTTGCCATCCTTCTCCTCGATTCAAAACTTTGATTTCGAATTCCTTTTGGGCTCCCAGTTCACTACAGGTATCTTTAATTCGCGTAGTAAACATAATTTTCAATCGATCATGTGTAGATGGAATTCCTATATCTTCCAAATTAATTTCTTTCCACACATCGTCTAATATTTCAAGAATGCCATTACGATCCTCACTTTGAAGTCTATGACGAAGTCGTCCAGCTCTCCCGCTGATTGTAATTTCGTCAAATTTTAGACCAAGCATTTCAGCAAGTTGATCCTGAATTTTTTTAGTGTCTGGATCTTTAGATACAACTGCAAATGCAACGTCGTCAAATAATTTCTTAACTTCGTCATCACTGCATATTTCCCTTACCAGTGTCGTCTTACCAACTCCAGGCATGCCACAGATCCCAATTATTCTTGTATCTTTTTCCTTTAGAGCTTCCTTGATTTTCTTCATAGTTGATAACCTTGTTTCGAAATCCTCATGGAGAGGTGGCTTCAAATCCTGCACCTGCGGTCGATGAGGATGGCTCACCCTCTCAAATTTAACTTTTACTAGCTCATCAACCTCAATTGTCTTCTTTGTGGCACTCCTGCTTAATTCGTGACGAGACTTCAGATTTAGACACCTCTTGAATAGACACGCCGTTTCAGAATCTGATACGCGTTTCAAAACTTTTTCAGCTTCTCTCTTTTAAGTTATTGCCATTTTGGATCCATTCCGAAACATCTTTCCTGATGCTTTCATCATTTTTTTTGGCAGAATCAACTTGTTGTGTCAAGTCAGTTATCTCACTTTCAAGTTTTCCAACTTTATTCTGCAAATTCTTAATGTTACTGTTGTAGAAGAACAAGTACTTGATTTGGCGCAAAACTGGACCGACTGCTTTTTCTGCAAGCTTCCCAACAATGGAAAATGCTATACCCTCTGCCATTATCGGATTCTTTTCCTTTTTGTCTTACCTTTTACTTCGGATGAGTTTAATAAAATTGTAGATTATTTCCTTGGTTGCTAGTGTTGATTATCTATGCAGAGTTATTGAGAAAATAACAGTAAGAGAACATCGATAAATGTAAAAATTTAGTATTATCTACAATAAATTAAATAAAAAATAGGGATAAGGGAAGTTGCAACTATTCGTTTATCATTGCACAACCCATTGTTTTGCATTTGAACTATCAAATCATAAATTGGTAGCCCATAAATCAATTATAAAAAAATTGTAGAATTTCAATTGACTTTAACATACTTTTATTGAAAAGAATAAAAATTTATATGAAACGTCTATATAAATTATTGCAAATAATTTATTTTATTGAATTATTTATTTTTGAAGTACAATATTACACTATTTCAAATCTTTGCTTGCATGATACAATGATTCAGAAAACATATATTACGTTTTAAAAAATATTAGTAATCTCAATTAGAAAAATAAGAAAGGCATCAATACTCATCGATTAAAAAAATAATAATAAGTTTCTCACTACTCAAAAAAAAAAAAAAAACAAAACAAAAAACAGACCAAGGATAAAAATTTAAAATATATAGTACAAAAAAATAATATTTATCAAGATATAAGCTTGTGGAAGGATATTTTTTGAAAGTTATTAAGCTAACAATAAACCAATATAAAAGAATTTGATTACAAATAAATCTACTTTTGTAATAAAATCGGAATTTAAATCACAAATTTATCTTTTTCAAAGAAAATTGAGAGAAACAATGAAAAATAATAGAGAGAAAAGAATAAAGAGGAGAACGTTAGAAAGAGAGGGGGGGAAAAAAACTAATAGGTTGAAAGGAGAGAAAATAATTATTTTTTTAATTTAAAAATTGACAAATAATCATAGTTATATGGTTCATAGAATGAAAGATGGAAGAGAATATCATAGAATAAAAGATTTTTTTTTTATTTTTTTTTTTTGGGTTTTTGTGAAACTCTTTCAAAATCTCTTGAGTGAATGAGAAACAAATTGTAAGATTTTTTATTTGTATTTTCTACGTAAAAGTTAGCAAGTGGTGAATTTTGTAAAAGTCATTAGAAGTTATTATTATTTTGAATACCCAGTGAGTTTTAACTTTTAAGGGTTTTAAAGTTTTAATTTAATAATCCACTACGTTTAAACACTTTTAAGAAGTCTATAAGAAACTACATTGAATACATCTAGATATTTTAAATCTGTAAAAATCTTTAAAAGTCTCAATTTTCATATATTCTATATAATTCATGTTTGGCTTTGTGTTCTTGGTGCATTTTGGTGCTAATCGGGTTACTATTTAGAATCAATAGGTACTTCGTTCAGTAAGAATGACAACATGACAGGACAAGAATTAAAAGATCCTAATTTATTATCCCATTTAACTATTTACCTATATTTTTTATTATTTTTGTAATACAATTTAAATTGAAAAAATATGAAAATAAAATAAAAAGACTCGATATGGTTCAAGGAATTCGAGGCACATATTATGTTTCTCATCTCCGTCCCATTTACCATTCTAGTCAAGGTAATGTGGGTCACGTTAGGGCAGAATTTTATCATCCTTATCGTTCAATGGTGAGATTATTGAAAAATTAGAGTAAAGTCTCAAATCGATTAACATGAATTGATGATAAACTTGTAAGGGATTGACTTGCTCCACTTAATGGGTTAACATAAACCTCAATTCCCCACACTATCAAGTATGATGGGAGAGAGAGCAAAAACTATTCAACTGAAAAAGTGAAATAGTCATTTTCCATATTTATTAGGGAAAAAATGCAGCGGAGATCCCAAACATTTCATTTTGTTGCATAATATACCTTAACCTTTTATTTTTGCGATCACGATCCCAAACATTTCACTTTAACGACAATTGAAATCCATTAGACAGATTCCGTCCAGAATTCCATTAGTCTAAGGCCCTGTTTGATATACAAAATTTTCCATGGAACTAGGGAATTTTTTTTCTATTTTCCATCTTTTGCGTTGTTTGATAGCCTAAATTTTCCATCCCACCCGCCACGTCACTTTTTTCCTTGTTTTGCTTGGGTTTGTGGGAAAATATTTTCCAGCTAGCTGCTGCATTTTTTTTTTTTTTTTTTTTTTTTTTTTTTTT